AACTGCCGAAGCTTCATGAGCTCTATCGGTTGCTTCCATGACGAAGTTAAAGATGGTGTCATCTGTACTTGTGGTTTGCAAGAAGGTCGGGAGATCCCTCAATCGGATATCTCTCATTCCCGGGATCCAATCTAGTACGGTGTCCAGATAGCCATTTGTGAAACAGCTCTCATCATCTGCAATAGACAAATGAAATTCAATTGAAGAAACATTTCATTTGCATGTTTAGGAACAACAATTGCTTTAATTAATAGTTATATATTTCACCTTTGAGTGGAGCAAGTCCTTTTTCGACCACAGCGCGAAGTTGTTTAAATCCCATGAAGCTGCAGGCAGCTATAGTGTAGAACAGAACTATAGGGGCTCCAATTTCTTCAGCAGCTATGATTGTGAACGTGGACATGAAACCATCTGAAACTATGCCAGTCACAGGAGGATTGCTGGATGTTTCTATGGCATCATTGTTGAGTTTTGCAAGGAAGGTATGAAAGGGAGCCAAGAAATTTTTTCTGACGGACTCACAAAGCAAAGTGATATCTTGTGTGGTGTCTTCATTTGAATCTGGAAGGCTATCTGGGATGGCTTCAAATTGAAAATCAGGCAAGCCATCAAGGGAATTGGGTCCTAAAGATTTAAGAAAGCGCTTGTGATTGAACTCTGTGTTAACAAAGGTTATATGAAAACCTCTACGGTGGAGGAGCTTTGCAAATTTAATCATTGCCTTTATATGGCTTTGAGCAGGGAATGGAATACAAAGAGCATGTGGCTTAGTAGCTACTTCTGTGGAATCCATCTGAGCATTTGTGTGTGCATTGCAGTGCTTGCAAATGCAGATTATTTATAAAGCAAAACTTAGCTACTTTTCAATGTGTCCTGTTTTCTCTGTTTTTTCCCCTCCACACAAGTAAGTCTATGCAGATAAGATATCCAGAGAGAGAAGAAAGTTGTCAGACAAATTGAGGTGAGAAGACGCGAAGGGGAACTGGTATCTTCTATTGGCTTTTCCCCTATAAAGAATAATTTTGTTTCATTATCCTTTCTTGGCCTTTCCCCAGTTCTTTCTCCAATTATTGGGCCACAAAAAGTTCAGTTCTCATTCTACTTCTGCTCTGAATAAGAAAATGACAAAAAAAAAACATATATATATATAATTATGGCTTAATTACTGTTTTACTTCCTAAAATGGGCGCTCCGTTTTAATTTAATCCATAAAACTGAAAATTTCTCACTTAGCCCCCCCAGAATCTCTTAAAGCTGTAGGAATTTTCTTGCTTTGCAACTTCCGTCTTTTTTGGTCTATAAAACCGTTAAATGTGCTGATGTGGCATGGGCATTTTAATAATTCAGCTATTAAAAAACTTTATAATCCAAATTAAATATGTTTTAATTTTTGAAGATTAACTACACAGACCCAATCACCCCAAACCCATCCCTCCCCCATGCCCGATCATCCTCAGCCACCATCATCCATACCCAGCAGGCCCCACCCATGCCTAGCAGTTAATAAAAAAGATGCATACCCAAAATCAAAGAGCCGAAACAAATACGCTATACATAAAAAATCAAACAAAAGGCCCAAGAAAATCATCCAATTTGCAAAACCTGTATTGAAAACTATGGGAAAACAACACCCAACGAAGAACCTCACAAATTGAGCTATCAAAAAATGGAAATAAAACAGACCCAGATGTTGATACAAATTTAAGTGTACATGTTTTCTTATTTTTATTTTTGTGTACATGTTTTTTTTTAAAAATTTTATACAAATTTAAGTATTTTTTATATTAAATAATCTAATAAACATTAAAATAAATTTTTTTGAAGTCCAATGCAGTCTGGCCCATACCAAACAACGGACTAGATTTAAGTCTAGTGCAGTCTAGCCCAACTTAATGTACCAAACAACTTATTAAAGTCTAACCAAATTCAAGCCAAACCAGTCTAACACTCCAAGCTCAATCATAACCAGTCCAATCCAGCCCACCAAATAAGGCCTTGATGGTTTATTTTTGGGGGCTACTATGTTTGGGGTTTGAGTATGGGTGGGTTTGCTGGGTTTGGGTGGTGAGGGTTATTGGGTTTGGATGATGGTGGATAAGGATGATCGAGAGTGGGGGAGGGATGGGTTTGTGGTGATGGGTCTGTGTAGTTAATTTTGTTTTTTTTTTTAAAAATTTTAATCTATTTTTTAATATTTAATTTGGATTATAAAGTATTTTAATAGCTAAATTATTAAAATTCCCCTACCACGTCAGCACACTTAACGGTTTTGTGAACATAAATAGACAAAAGTGGTAAAGTGAGAAAATTTTAGCAATTTTTAGAGATTTTGAAAGTTAAGTGAGAAATTTTAATTCCAGGGGTAAAGTGAGACCAAACACTCGTTTCAAGGGGTATAACAATAATGAAGCCAAAAATCACTGCAGTGCTTGCAAATGTAGATTATTTTATTTCACTAATCCAAACTATCTATTTTTGTAGATATTCATTCAAAGATCATCCCTACAAAAAATCATTTGAATCCGATATCATTTGACCATTCAATTAAATTATTGAAATTTAAGTAATCTCTTGAAGCGTGTTTATTGATTTTGTTGATCTCTATTAGATGTCATAATGATTTTCAATTTGTATGATTTTTTTACAAGGATGATTTATGAGTGAAGACTTGAAAAATAGACGGTTTGGATCGTTGAAAAAAAAGTCGTAAGATACCCTTCAATTTGTAGACTATTAGTTATTTATACTAGCCCTTTGGCACATACTCACGCATGTGCCAATTGGTTTTATTTTTTATTTTTTATTTTATTTTTAGAATTAATAAAAGATAACATGGGTAATTATGTTCCAAAAAAGTAGGACTTATTATCTGATTTTGTTTTTAATTTTTTTAAATATTGAATAATGTAAATTTACCATTTTATCATCATTTCATTAATAATTTCAATTCTTAATGTTTGAATTAACCAAGGGTATTTTCTGGTATTTTGAATGTTTTATCATTCTCTTCCTTTTGCTTTATATATATAGATTATTATAAGAAACAATTTCTACCACAATTTTTACCATTATCTATACAATCATAAGTTGATTATCTATCAATCAATGACGACCTTTTCGAAATACTTGACCAACATGAGTGTATAAATTCAAAAAAATTTAAAAAATTTAATCATATTTTGTTGACTATTAGTGATATAACAGTTTCTAATATATATATATATATATATATATATTTATATTTATATTTATATTTATATAGTCTCATTCTATTGAGGGATTCTTTAAATAATTTTAAATTTTTATAATAATATAATCTAGAAGTTAGTCATTGGTTGATAGATAGTCAAATTTTCGACACACAAATATCTGTGCAAAGAAAAATCAGTTGATCAAGGCAAAAAGAATAATACTTATACTTCGGTTTCTTGCCGATGTAAGGATAATTTGGTTCATTATTTCCCCTCTTCAATTCTGTAATTTTGTGTTACAGTATCTCCCTTTTTTTTTATACTGCCAAACTCAACAACTTGATTTGGTGTCATGACCGTTATACTCCCAACCAATCAAGAATCATCTATGTACCTCCAATAATTAAGAGAAATTTATAATAAAACACATTCTAGCATTGAATTTACATATGAACCCTAAAAGCTTTAAATTGAAGAAGGAAAAAAAAACTCAAAAAGGACCAGGTTAGTATTATTTTTTTAAAAAAAAATTTGAATGATGTGTGAAATACCATTAGTATCCTGGCATTATGATATTTAGGGAAAAAAAAACAATGATGACATTGTTGTAATTTTTGGGTACATTGATGACATTGTTGTTATGGTTTTTCAAAAGTAAAATGGATTTTTTTTTTCCTAAGAATTGAGTGTTGTAGAGTTTTTCTATATTTTGGGCCCTATTTATAGAGTTTAGATCTTCTGTCCCCATTTCCTTTGTTCCCCCTCTGGTCCCTATTTGGAATTTTGACACATGCTGCCACGTCGCTTCAACTTCATCACTTCTTGTTTTCATCTTCACTGCTATTCTTCCAAGAGTTCTCTGCACCTCTCCAGTGTTTTCAAAATTCAGTGGACAATGTGAATCCATAGCGGTTTAATTTTTTTAACCCAAGACTCGCTCATTATTAGGCCAATCTAACCCAACTCTCTAATTATCGGATTGACCCAAAATTGTACCCAGCTTAATACTAGGTATACATAGGGATTGGAGGCCCTAGGCGGCCGGCTAGGCGCAGGGAGTCCCCATGTTAGCTGTTGAACATCATTAACTTAATTTTGCTCAGCACATGTCGGAAGCTAAACAGATGGCACACATGTCTTGCTTGTTCCTGTTTCTTCCACTTCATGTTTTTTTTTCTTTTACTTTTTTCAATCCAAGGTCGCTTACTGAGGTGAAGAAATTGTTGAAGAGAATATGACACATAAGCATTGATGCATTGACCGCAGCCATTATAGGAGATCAAAGGAGACTGTCAACAAAGAAGCTAAATTAGCAATCAAACATTTGTATAATTTGGTAACTGATGAGACTTTAGAGTGAAACCTTAATCAGATGTCAAATACGTCAATTAATTAAGAGGGTTTTTTTTAACAGTATAAAACCATGGATGAAGATTCAAAAACATTCTTGAAGGAAATGCTCCCTTAAGAAAGATATTGGGTTCGAATCCTATCATTCTTCTAGTGTGTGTGAGTTTAGTATGTTATCGCCCCTCTCAAAAGTAAAGGTCTTTTAAAAAAAAAAAAAAAAAAACACCTTCTTGATTTGTGGCGAATTTGTGTCACAATATAACAACCTTTTGTATATATCACTGTCTTCTTTGATAATTATAATATTTTCTCATTATTTCTTTCTATTGCTTAGATATTTGTTTACCATCTGAATTGTCTTTGCAATTAGTTGTAATCAGTCAACACTAGAGCATATATACTATTTATGGAAGACGTCAATATATAATTTGAGCAAGCACTTTAGGATAGTGGATTTTCCCATTCTAGTAATCTTATTCACTTGGTCTACAAATGCGCCATACGCAAGCAGCTGTAAAGAAGTTGTAAGTTTTTGCTCCAGAAAAAGACCTAAAACCTCAAGAGCATCGTACTTCTGAATGAAGTATATGCGTCGTAATTGCAAACAACATGCATGATTTTATTGAACAAATGGGGCTGCATTCTATATCGCCCTCGAAAATCAATATTGGAGTACAACGAATTTGGGATAAAGTAATATTACAAGAGATTCTTACCTCAAGAGGGCCTACGTTTGTCCGCGTTTGAGTCACGGGCGGGTTGCAAACCACAGTGTTGTTGGCTTGATTGATCGAGCATACCCACTGTTAAAACAACTTGATCATCTTCTGCCTCCCACTCCCTTTCTTCTTTAGCACGTTTGCGCATTCTTTCTTCATTTTCTCACTTGGCCCTCTCCAACAACCTCCTCGTGTAAGACATTGAAAGTAGAATGTGTTTTGTAAAATCTGATAAATGAAAGGATATAGAGGATATCGATGATTGATGTGACTTGAGGGTGTGGTTTTATAAATGGATTTAGAAGATAGAGATGACATGTGGCGCAATAGTAGCAACCGAAAATCTTATCTGAAATATGAGATGTGAATTTTATAATAAATATGGACATCTAGCCATCAGAAATCTTATCCAAATATTTTATCCAAAAATCTTATCAAAATTAATCTTATAAATATAAAAATAAAATTAATTTGTTGTGAATAATAATTGCCCTTTGCCCTAGAAAGGGTGAAAAAGCAACAATAAAATAGCTAGGGCAGACACTATTCACATGAATAGTACAAGCCC